ACTTTTTCCCCCCCCCCTAAAAAAAAAAAAAAAAAAAAAAAAAATTAAAATACTCCAAATCACACCTTAATGCAAGTGTGGCAACCAGAACCACCGGTCACTCCCACCCCTTCCCCGGCAAGCGCTCTTTAGTATATTAGCAGCCAAAGGCCTCTGACGTTCGGACCCAGGAGTGGCCGTTACAATGCTAAAGTCTAATATTTACAATAAATATTATCCATTTCTCGTTGTTTGCAACAGTAAGAGACAAAGGGAAAAAATAACACTGAAATGAGGCACAGGGCAGGAACGCGCCGGCTGGGTGCAGGAGCAGAGAGGAGCAGAGGGAGGAACCAGCTTTGATGCTGTCGTCCCGACACGGATGAGGAGCCGGAGACACATCCAAGCTGACAGAAGGGAACGGGGAAGCGAAGCAGGACAGCAGCGTATTGGGATGGTCGTACGCACAGCTCATTCACCAAACACACACGCACGCAGCTTCCACCTCCCGCCTGTCTGACTCGGGGTTATCCACGGGGGCCAAGTTCTCGGCTTGCTGAAGGCTTTGCTCGGGCACTGTGGATCCGATCCTGCGCTGGGGAACGCACTCTTGCTCTTCACACACAGCTTTTCCAACATCTCGTTCCTCCCCGATGAGTTTTGCAAGCTTATTTGAGAAGGTATTTAAGCCATTCTTAGCAGAGCAAGGAATGTCTTGGTGTATCTACCTGGTTTATTATCAAAATTTTATATAAAAAAAAAAAAAGGCTTTTTGCCCAAACCTTTTGCTAAGGTGCACCATATAAATTTGACAGAAGATGGAACAGGGATGATGGGGCACCTGGCACACCGAGGGAAATCACAGGACTGACCAGGAGCAGGGAATACAGGGATGCTTTCCTGGTGACGCTGTTTGGCTTTGGCTTCCAAAAAAACCAGGGGTTTTTAGATTGCACTGATCACTCTCTGTACTGTAGCTAGAAAAGAGGTGACAAAACACGTACCTCACCTCTTCTTTGGCCAGTTCAGGCACAAGCAGCAAAAGCTGTGACATCGCAAGTTTTTTCACTCCTCTCTGTAGGCGTATGGAAGGATAACCCTGCAACTCGGCGCTGGAACCGCCGGCTGCGAAGGGAGGGAGTCAGCGGCTGATACAGCTGGTACCCGCAGGGGGTCCCACCCCAACCTGCGTGGGGTGAGCCAGGTCACCCGGCCCTCTCTCTTAAGGGCAGTGGGTGGTTTTCCCCCTTTTTTTTAAAAAAAAAAAAAACCTTCATGGACACCCAGGAGCACACTCACAGGAGGAGCTGCGTCACCGCAAGAAGGAAACGGGGACCTGCCACCTGGGGAATGGCCAGGTCGGAGCTCGTCCTCACACCACTCTGGGCTCACTACTTAATCGATGCAGAGGCTTCCATCTCGCCAAGGTTAGGCGCTCTCAGGAGATAAGCTTGAGGCTTGTCTTTGTAATTACCACAGACTCAGGATGCTGAATCAATTTTTCACTATTCCTGTCCGTTTTATCGTACGCTGTACTGCCAGTCGGACCTTGTTTCTCAGCAATTTTTTAGCAGATCAACCCATTGGGGAGAAAACCGGCCAGATAAGTACCAGATCCTGCCAAGTCTGCTCCTTACTTGCTATCGCTCCAAGTCAGCACAGAATGATGCTCATCAACAAGAGTGCTTTGAGAGGCTGGAGATACCCAGGACCCTGACAAGGCAGTGGAAATATTGCGGTTCGTAATTGCAAACCAAGTGTATACGAGCAGCCTATGCATTCCAGGGAAAAAGAGCAAAGAGACAGCACAGCAGGCTCTGCTCTCAATACTGTCACAGCAGGATTTATTAACATGTTATCTGGGAGCGTTGAGGCTTTGGTTAGTGTATTAACAACACCATACATGTTCACACAGACGCACAGAGCAAACATTCATTTAAACATGTCAAAAAAAAAAAAAAAAAAGAAAAAAGAAAAGAAGTTCAAACCAAACCAAAACTTGGTCCAGAAATTAAATCCAAGCAGCCAAAAATAAAGTATATAATGGGGGGAAACAATGGTTATACAGAAAGAAGCAGGGTGAGCTTCCAAAGATCTTTGTGATTTGTGGATTGAGCTGAAATCAAGTTGAAAGAGAAAATATACTCCTATATAAAAACATATTTGCATTTAGGGGAAGCGACTCAAAACTTCAAGTTCAAGAAAAGCCAAGACAACGAAGGTGGTGGCAGCGTAATGATGTCAGACCAAGAGAGGCAGGTTTTAGCTCGAAATACTGTTGCACAGTCATGTCTGCTTCTAACAGAGTAAGCCAGTGAGCAGGATACTAGACCTTGCGGGCGATCCGCAGGGAGATACACTAAGACGAGACTAGAATAAAAGCTGAGCACAATCTGGGACAAATGACGGGAGTGTTCATCGAGAGGAACCTTTAATTGGATGAAGAAATGGCTTACAGTGCTACAGGTATCACCACTCGACATGTTTATTGGTGTATTATTATTGATCTAATCCTCAGCAAAGAGCACTGTTGTCCAGAGTCGGTCACACCTAAAGAAAAGCAATGTCTAAACCTAAGAGCAAAGAGCAATTTTTTTTTTAATGGAAAGTGACCTCAGCAGTGGAAATGGTCTAGCTATCAAAGCTGAAATCTTAAAATATCACATGTATTTTGAAGTCTGCTTGCAGCTTGTCCACAGAACTCAAGGAGTCAGAACTCTTCAGAGGTTTTTTTGTTTGTTTTTAAAATGGGCAGATGCAGAAAACTCAGCAAGTTTCCCAAGCCCCAATTCAGAAATGTTAAGGAACACCTTAAAATCCCTACCTGTTTATAGACTCACCAAGAGAAGGAAAAGTCTCCAAAGGTCATGTATCATTGAGACAGCTTTGCCCGAGACATACTGGAGAACATGCGACTACAAATTTCTCTACTTTAAAACCAATCTACAAGGCACCCCTTTCCTGGGGTCATTTATTCTGAGGCAGGGCAAGTTATGAATTGAAGCCAGAGAAAGGAAGATAAAACATCACTGTTAAAAACAGAGGGGAAAGTTGCCATGTGTCCCATAAAAGATAAGTAAAAACAATCCCAAAAAAACCCAGCTTACGGATTGGGGTTTTCTCTTTCTGATAATTCCATTGAAAAATGCTTTTACTTGGTTTAAAGGGAAGACAGGGATCTCTCTCTGTCCGGCCCCTCCAGCCCCTGTGTCCTGGACTGTAAATGCGCACGGTGACAGAGAGGTCTGCCTTGCCCCGAAGAGGTTTTGTAGCTCCAGAATAACTTGCGGACAAGAGAGTGGTTTCTTCTCCTCGTCAAAGGACAGCAGAGAGTAAATTCAAAGAACGAACTTGAAATTTGTGAATTTCAGTGGCATTTCAAAGAGAAGGTTGAAAAGCAGAAATTTAAAAGTAAGCTGCCTTTTTTGTACTCGGAATTTTTGGGATCTCAAATAAATGTGGGATTAGAGGAAGGAGCACAACAGGCCGTAAACTCAGGCAAAATAAAAGGTCTGGAAGGGAAAAAAATTAACAAACTGTTTCTTAAGTCCTGCTTTAAAGATACCCTGTTCTAAAGAGACCTCAAACGGCAAGCATCACTGTGTACAAAAATAGAATAGCAAGGATGAAAAAACACAAAAAACAGTATGAAAAAAACCCTCCCAAAAATAGATGTACACAAGTTCTATTTTATATTAGTGTATATTACAAAATTCAAACATGCAGTCTCTATTTTGAATGTAGAATGCTCCAGTCCACACGTACCAGGGATGCTGCTATGTTTTCTTTACAGCACCATCATGTGACAGGGGAAAGTCTTGTATTTTGAACTGATTTCCAACCTCTTTGCTTTTTGCTTGCACGAGGGTCCCTTCTTTACAGGGCCTCGTGCTGCCATCTGGCAGAGGAGAGGCTCTCAGAGCTGCTTGTCCAAGAGTGTGAGACAGCTCTTTCGATGGAGCGATTTTGCAGCTACCTCCCAATACTTCAGGTGCTTTAGCGCTGCAAAAAGTTGCCTCTTTTTTGGCCGCCATGGGGCACGTTGCCTCCCAGAGCTTTGCTGAGTGTAAAGACTCTGCGCAGCACCCGCTCCTTGTGGTCAGACCCTCTGTGCCTGATAGTTTGGCTTTCTCTTGACACGCTCCTGCTTGTGAAGTTTCCTGCCTTTTTTGTTTCGGATCTCTCTCGTCTTTACAGGAGGCACCCAAATGGGGGAAATCCTTTCTCTTTTCCACTTCTCCGGAACCAGACACACTGAGCTTCAATGGACCTAACACACTCTGAGCTAGCGGCACCAACGGAGACACGGAGAGAGCTCTTTCGATAGCACCGGGGACGAGGAGCGTGGAGGATACAGGACCTGCTGGGCTCGTTTTGCTGGCGGGTGAAGCGCTCTCTGCCTGGGACGAGCTGGGCTGTTTTTCAGTACCAGGACTTTTTTGGGACATTTCGCTCACGCTTCCAGGAGACAGAAATGAGGCGCTGTGCTGTTCTGCGGGCTGAAGTGTCTCCTTGCGATCCTTCTCACTGTGATCCACAGGGCTTACCGAAACAGGAGTGCTCGTGCTTGCCGTGCACCATGAAGAAAGTGCCAGCAGAGGTTTGGAATCCTGTTTTTTCTGACCGCTTTCTGTTAGCAGAGGGTCTTTCAGGTCAAGCTTACCACGTGTGGCCCCTGAAGAGTCCCCTTCTTCAAGTTCCAGGAGTTTGATAGACGGGCACTGCATATGTTCTGTATGATCTGTTGGTTTTTGAGTACTTGTAGTTCTCCCTAGGTCTTTGACTGCCTCAGAAGACTTGTCTTTTGGACCAAAACACTCAAAAGTTTTGTTTTCTGGCAATTTATGTTCCTTTGCAGTTGTTTCTGGTCTTAGGAATGTTTTTTCCAAATTAGGTAATTTTTCTGGAGAAGTTCTTGGGAGGACCTCTGATGGGGAAGGGTGCACACCGATTTGCAGTGGCTCTGAAACAGGCTTGGCTTGTTGATTATTTCCCTTCTGCAAATCTTCTGTACCTTTTGGATCTTCAGGTAAAAAGGCATCATCTTCAATACTATCCTTGCTTTCCAATTTAGATGAAAACTTATTATCCTCATTAAAAGAATCTGAGCCTTGGTCTCCACTGTCAGGGGGCTTGTCCAGTCTTCTCCCATCCTGACTATCTTCTGAACCATCATCTGTTTCATCTTCGGAAGAATCTACTTCTCTGATGGCCTCTTGCTTTTGCAGAGACTCCCTCCTCTCCACTCTGTCCTGTCGAATAGCACCCAACTTCCGTGAACCCGGCTTCTGCAACATCCCTTTTTCCGCTAGCCCGAGTTTGCCACCTGTGGTTTCATTCACAGATTCTTGTAAGCTCTGGAGACTAGGATCCCTCTGCAGCATCTCCTTCTTAAATTCAGAGTGAGAGATATCCAAGCTATGCTTACGTGAGGAAGCCAGCTTCTTCTCGGAAGAGGACAGCGAGGCAGCCAGTTTCTCGGCCGACTGCACTCTCTTTAGCAAAGGAGACCTAGGGGGCTCAGCACTTTTGGGGCGAGAAATTTGTCTCACCAGCGGTGGAGAGGAGTGTAGTTTTACTGGAAAAGACTGAATAATACTGGAGCTGCCAACTGAGTGTCCTGGTAGAGGAGACGGGGAGCGCTGCGGTGATGTGGACTGTGGGGTTGGTGACGGAGTGTGAGCTAGTGGTGACAGAGGGATGTTTCCCGCAGATTTACGCCTTGGAGATCTGTACTGCCTTTGAAGCTTTGGTGCTAGTCCATGCAGAGAGCTGGGTCGGATGTGTCCAGAGCTGGCTGGAGAATTGGGAACACTGGAACTGGGAGAGCTGCTCTGGGAAGAATTGCCACCAACTTAAAAGAGGAGAAAAAAAAAAAACAAAAACCAAAAAGACTAAGAATATTAATATCTCTTTGGCCATGAAAACAAGTTATTGAAAATAAGACATGCAAAGTCAAGACAAAGTGCCACGTTACCACAAAGCACTGCAGTAATATTACAAGGTAATATTGCATGGCTTCTGATGGAAAATTCCCATCATTATCACAGAACACCAGAATATAGTAAGAAACACTCTGCTATCAGAATGCTTTTTCTGAAAAAAAAAACCCAAACCCAACCCTGCAAGCAGATAAACCATGTGTTTCACTGCTATTCTCAAGATACAAATCTCTTTATTCCACCAGCTGATTCAATTTTCAAATACGACTTTGCCACACTGTTTTGATTCCTTTTCTCTGAACTAATATAGAAAATGTGTCAAACTGCTACAAAAACATTGCAACTTACAATACACATCTGCATCAAAGTGAAAGGACGCTGTGGTACAGCAAATGCACTCTTAAAAGGATGTATGGATTTTCATTTTTAAATGAATCAATGAATGAGAGTACATCCATCCTTCAGGTAATTGACATCACAGCTGTCATTTTACTTCACAAACAGACCTACTACCTGCTGCTGTGTATTTTACTTCAAAAATTAATCAATAAGCAAAAAATCTTCTCAAGTTTTTTTCTGTTTGTGTGGATTTGGACACACACACACACACACACACACACGTTTTGTTTCTTTTTTTTACCTGAGTGCACGGACTCGGGAGTGGATCTGTAACTCTGTGTTGGTGACCGAGGAGACAGGTTGTGAGTTGGAGAGCCAGGCACACTTTCTCCAGAAGACAGAGAGCGGTTTAGTGAAGATAAACTCCGGCTGGTGTGAAGCAGCGATGCTTGTTTAGTGATCTTCCTCAACAAAGAACTCTTCTTCTTACTGTGGAAGAGCATTCAAAAGTTGTTGACAAGCCCAAATTATTTATTTACAAATATTGGCATATTTCAATCAATTTTACAGCACAGTTAAAAAGACAACAAAAAAGAAAAGAAGAACTAAAGAACATACCTGCCGATAGACGTTATCTGCAAATTGATTTGACAAGATATCTCTTACATTATCTTGGTTACCATTTAATTTTCACAGAGAAATGTCAAAACGAACCTGTCCTGACCATCCTTAGTTTTGCTCTTCTTGTTCCTACGAGCCATCTTGGATTTGTAGCTGGCTTTTCGAGCTGGACCAACTTTGATGGACGTGTTCTCAAATGGCGTGGTGGAGATGGACACTTTATTTCCACTCTGTCAGAAACAAGACACAGAGATGTTGCTTAAAACGTGGCTATTGGAAGCAGATCTGCAGGCTAAGCAGGTAAGCTGTGAGTTTGTCGCTGCCTGCCATTTTGTAATCCTTTGTCAAACTCCATTTCCCCCTTTGCATTTCCACCTATCATTTATTAAGGAATTGCTGAGAGAGAGCCCTCTTCAGCCAGGCTTTCACAAATGATTAGCTCAGACCCTAGCTGGTAGGTAAAGCTTCCCAGAGCAGATAGAACACAGCACCTGACCTCTCCCATTGAGATCCCAAATGCCTCAATTTAATATTTGTAATACTTAGAAACTTGAACAAAGCGATATTCTGTCACCAGTCCCATTCCCAGTGCTCTGACTGATGGCAGATGCGAGCGTATCAGGCATCTATCATGATGAATCTGCAACACAGAGCATGCCTTGTCTCACTCATCTTAAAAAACAGTAACAATCCTGATTGCTCCTCTCTTTGCAATCCCAAAGACTTCTGTCTCTTGGAACAGTCCAAAACTTTGGGTTTTATTTCAGTAAGTGGATTCAGCTCAGAGGAGGTATCAAAACGCAAGTCATTTAACTGGATAATTTTAAGACCAACCATTACAAAGCTGCTTCTAAATACCACTAGGAATAATCCTTGAGAAAGCAGTATTAAGAGCTAATAACATTAGCACAGCCTAAAGGCAAAAAATAAAAGTAATTTGGAAAATTTTTAAGGTATTTTTTTCTTAAAGTGATGTTTGAGGAAAGGTGTACTTAAATCTTACTAACCTCTGACTCTACTGCTGATAAAAATGTAACCGATGGGTCCTTATTTCTCACACAAAATATCTGAGGTCAGCTTAAATTACAGACAGAAATTTTTGAGATTAGGGATCGAGCTGCAGCAACGAGTTTTTGCAAAAGAATGGCCAGGTGCTGTGTACATACTTGTATTTCAAACAACGCCAGTTAGATACCTAAGGCATTTTAAACAAGCTGGCTCGTATTTTCCAAAATGTAACAGTGTTGAGTCCCTACCTTCAGAATCAGCTCCACCACTTCTGTGTGCACCAGCCCATGGACTGGCTCCCCGTTGACATGGGTTATCAGATCCCCTTCACGCAGACCTGCTTCGTTCGCTGGACCACCTTCTTCCACGTGCTGGCAACGAGAAGGGGATGACTGATTTGAGAAGAGGAACGTACAAGATCACTGGCCAGATCAGCCTCAAAGCCCATCCACCTCATCTCTTGCTGCAGCCAGCATCAGCTGCTTCAAAGAAGAGCGAAAGAAACCACTGACTGCAACGGCCAAGCACAAAAATCTGCGCTCTTCCACTCCTCCCCCAGCATCCTGCCGGTCTTCTGCTGATCCAAGGCAGCCAGCCAGGATGGTTAAGCTGATCAAGAGACCAGCTCCTCCCAAAGCAAAAGCCTTAACACACTTCCAAAAATTTTCCGCACTCGGGAATGTTAACTAGATACTCTTGATTTCCAGACAAGCATTCAATCTTTTTCAATTTCTTTGCCATTCCAAATCCAGCATCCTTCCATGTACATGCTGGAACCCAAGGCAGCCAACAGACTTTTAAATAAGACTCTGTGCCGTGTGTTTAGGGTGCCTATAATGCATCTCATCCCAAACAGAGTTTCTTTTTCCTTTATTAACCTTTATTAACATCAGATCTTTCCCCCTCTGAACACACTGCCTTTCCCCATCGCTGTCAGAAAGATAAGCCTCCTTTAGAGTGAGGAGACAGACATGCTTGAGAAGACTGCAGCTCTCCTTCTAGCCAGAAAAGCTTACAAATTGGTATCTTGGTAAACTCAGCATTTTTCAAGGAAAGCAGAGAGGAGCAAGGGAAAAATGCGGTTTCAGACTATTTTTCTAGGTAAGAATGAGTGTTAATGACCAAAGCATATGAAGTCCAAATCGCCTAATGAACACAGAGATACAAGGAAAAGGATGAACCACCTTTACCCTGACTCCATTCTCCCTAACTACACAACTCAAACAACGCTGCTTCGGGGAATGGATCATTCCTAGAAGTCATATACGTTAACAAAAAAGGAACACGGAGATCAAGTACCAGAAGTAATGGGAAGGAAGAGATACAGACATAGAAACCAGACCTCTTAGCATAGCACACAACGAAGCCAAGAGCTAAATCCCTAGCCAGTCAGCGTAGCGGCAGCGATGCTTTAAGGCTTGTAATCAGTTCCAAGCAACTGCTTGGAAAACCCCAGCAGACTGAACTGATCAGAAGCAGGCTACAATCGCTAACACAGGTCTCAATAAATTAGCTATGACTGGCCCTCATGCAACAGCCCCAATAACAAGAAAGAGGGTATGTGTACACAGAAACATGCTTTAAAGTATGTGCTACAGGTGAAAGAAGGTGGATTCATGTAACCAGGGAAGAAGGAAAGAAAGGTTGCTGTGGTTCTGTGATGGGCTTGAAGACTGCTACAAGTAAAACCCAAAGTGCTGTTATTTATCTATTTATTTTTAAAGGGTTTTCCCCCACCCCAAAAAGATAACTTTGGGTCCGAATAAGGAGAGAGAAAACAGGGTAGCAAAATACCACTTACAAAGCGAAATCCCACAACCCTGGCTAAATGCATTTCTGGCCCCAAGGGTACTCTTTTTAGAAAAGCAGAGACATACCCAGACCATGTGATGCACAGTGTAGATATCACTGTCACCCATATAGACGCGAATGGCACGGAGAGTGAAACCGTATTTCTTTCCAGCCCGATGGATGATGATTGGTGGTTTCAGGTTTGCGATAGCAGGAGAAAAGTCGCGGCTGGGTGAGGAGTCCCTCGAAGATGGGTTGGAGGATAGAGAATGAGGTGACATTGGACTGGCCAATGGAGAACACGTGTGGTGATCTACAGTGATGACACAAAGGTGGGCAAAAATTAGGAAACCAGGCCTCCGAAAGAGAGAAAATTCTTGTTAGAGAACAGCTAGGAAACCATCTCTCCCAACACTCTTAAAGCTGGTGGTCTTCACCACCAGAGCTGGGTTTGCCTGCAGCTTCGACTGATTCTTACTTCGAAACACAAAAATCAGCAGCGTTTCCAAAAAACACATTTGGAGATGTGTATTTAATACAATATCACTGCTCGCCCAGGATTATGGTTGGGTCACAGTGTTTACTACTTCTCTTTCAAGGATTTACAACCCATCATAAGCATTTGCTCCAGGCACAATCCTGGAACACCGTGTTTCCAGGTTACGATATATTATGCTCCTCCAAAAGATCAGATAGTCTCTAGAACTTGGTGCAAGTTACATGCTGGTGCTGAGGTAAGTCAAAATCAGTTAGCATTAACACAAAAAAATCAGTAGGCAATCAGACAACAACTACATCTAGGTAGTTTCGGTAGTGTTTTAAATTCACAGGGGCAAAAATATTTAACCCTAAAAAATTAGCTACTGAAAAACAACATCACAAGTGTATTTTGGAGTGCATTTCCCAAACAAACAGATGAGGGCTGGGCTATGGCCTAAACTATCCGACTCTGCTTGCTAGTGGAACAATATCCACTTTTAAAAATACAAAGCAAATACAGAACTCTCATCTTAAAGTGAAGCTGGTCAACAACAGTAAGATAAACCCAAAGAGCAGGAATATTAAATGCAGCTGTAAAAAGTAATCCCTAATCCATTAAGAAATACCTGCTGAATCGCCCAGCACATATTTACCTGGCAGATGAGAGCAGCTCTGGAGGAACTTTGCTGGGTGATTAAATACACATTTTACAGATTTTCTAGAGGGAGTTTGTAGTTTGAAAAGCAACCAACGCCCAAACCACAAGAAGTGCAACGCGCACCACCACGGCAGTGCCAAGGGGCAGTTGCATTCC